CAATGAAATGCAAAGTTGTTTTATCTGATTTAAACGAACACGTACGCGGCTACGACATTCTCCACATATCAAAACGTCTGATTAAATGCTCTTTACCTCTTTAGCGCTTCATTCAGACATCTTTTGCAATATCTGTGTCCACATCTCGTAAGAACTGGTTCCCTCAAAGGCAGTTGACAAATTAAGCAGTGATATTCATCAAACACAGTCGATAAAAAGTCGTATTCATATCCAGACGGTAACCCAACGTGCTGCTGAACTTCCGCCATTTTATCTCGTCTCGCCTTCTTCCCTGCTCGGCCATACCACCCTAGTCCTGCCTTCTTCCCTACACGGCTATAGCCATACCGCACTTTTGCAATTTGCGTTCGCGATGAGTAGACACTCGTCTAAATGACCCTTGGAGAAAAATACAGGATACTAGCAGACTACCATCTGGTTTTCTTTACAAGATCTTATCAACTTCAATGCAACACAAATTGGAATACAGACACACGCGTTTTTCGCGCTGCGCCCCAGCTAAGTGAACGCCTGGAAGAGGCTAGCCTGGAAGAGACTACAGAGACAGTTAACAACATCTCACTCAAACCGTGACAAACGTGACACTTTTTCACATATTTTATCACATTTTAGCGTTCGCCACATTTTTATCGATTATAACTTGTTTTGAACATATTTATGCTAATTTGGAAATTTTACTCAATTGAAAATGACTTCGGGTAGGTCGAAACGTCGTGACTATTTAGCGCTAGTCTTTATTTCAAAATCGATTTCTAAGAAACTACTTATCATAACAATATCATCTGATAATTTCCAGGTCAGATGCATATCAATCTTTGTAAGACTCCATCTTTCTCCTACCAACCTCTTTTCCTGCAACTGTTTAATCAATAAATATCCCCTCGCTCTTATCTCACGCTCTCACCGTAAATCATCGAATTATTAGCGCCCGCGGCGCTTACTTTAAATTTAAGAGATGACGGAGGGTGGGGGGACGCTTAATCGTGGGGAGTGGGTTTTATTTAATTGTTCCCAAATCGTGGCCTGACATGATGATTTTTTAAAACATCATCTGCGCATTAACAACAACATAAACTGTTTATCGACATAAATAGCTAAACCTCAAGTTTAAATCGCGGCACCGTTAGTACTTGTAATCTTTTTTCCAAACTTAACGTGTTGACAAACTGAAACTATACATCCTTTGCTGTCTCATTACTCATCCACAAAATGGGGGGAGGGGAGGG